GCTTGCATGTATTAAACACCGGTTTTTTTTCGCATTTATTAGTTTGTAGTGACTCACGTTTATCACGAGAACACGACTGGTTTAATAAAAACAATTATTATTATAACCAACTGTACCAGTGTTTGTTTTAACGTGCTTTTGTTTGACTGTGCTAATGACAGCTATTTTGTGCTTCCATTCTTATACTTACACTTTGATTGTAACTTCGCGCGGATTCAGTTACCTTTTGTAACCAAGGTTGTATCCTGGCACGATCTCGGTATCCTTTCGATGCCACGAGATCGCCAGCTAATAAACCTCGACTTGGTCCATTAACTGTCTTCTGATATTCGGCTTCTCGGGGATTTTATGGAGTCATTTGGAACGAGCTTCTTACGCCTTCTGATTCATTTGGCACGTGTTTCTTTGTAGTGGTGTTCATAGTTAACCTCAACTCGACGCCACGCTACAATTGGTAATCCCAATTCGAATACAATTGGTGAGCCCGACGTGATTACAATTGGTGACCCGTATTTTGGAACACGCCTCATCCTCTGATCAAATCTTCCAAAGAAGCCAATTCGGTGAGTCTATGATTTATCTATCCACGTCTGTCGTATATTTCCATATTTTTAATATATCATATACGCGACATGACGGATAACGATAAGAATAGTATTAATATAATAGACTCACACGTATGTGTACCGAATCCTTGTCACTTTTTATTCGCGTGATGATGAATTCCACGCTTTATTCGAGAAATGTTACCCTATTAACGATTCTCCTCGCTGACCTGGCTGCTTGGTACGGAATGCATACGCATAAGCATATCCGTCTACCACCCAGCACCAAATGGTTAAGTTGAACGGTTTCACTGCCAACTTAAAAGTGTTCTACGAGCACACGAAAACGGCAACTGGTACGAAACCTTACCGCTCGTTCTTTTAGGTATCAGAACGAGTTTAAAGGCAGATATCCAATGTTCCGCCGCTGAACTTGTATACGGCACGACATTGCGTCTGCCCGGGGAATTCTTCACACCACGGAGCAGACCTAATTTCGCTAAATCAGACTACGTCCAACGACTGTCTGCATTTATGCGAACGCTGCCTCCGGTGTCAACTCGAATACAACATCGACAGGTCGCTCTCCCTCGAGAGTTATCTACCTGTTCACATGTTTTCATACGAGTAGATTCGGTACGCAAACCTTAGCAACAACCTTACGAAGGCCCTTTTCGCGTGATCGCTCGTCACGAAAAGACCTTCAAGGTTGATCGACACGGCCGCGTCGAGATCGTCAGCATTGATCGTCTCAAACCAGCACACGTCGATGACAGTGCCCTATCTGACAACCTGAGATTCAATGCTAGACCTAGCAAACCTACTAGCGGGATCCTCAAATCATCTTCAGGTTTCACGCTAGATACATCTGAGACCTCATTCTCACGTCCCGGTCAACAGCACGCGTCATCTGCACCGTCTACGGACGAGACGACAGTCTCACGTCCAGATCAGCAGACCACGCCGCCCTTGACTTCGGATGAGATTGCAGGCTCACGCGACGCGAACGAGACTGCCGTCTCACGTTCCGGTCGCCGAGTACGATTACCCGTACGCTTCCGCGAATAGTCGCACAGTCAACAACCGATACGGTGTAGGATTATTCCTATACTACTCGTATGCTACACTCCTCTTTTTTTGATTTTCTTTTTGTTTCCTGAGCCCACGCCTTCGATCATCTACGTTTGGTTCCGTCGACTTCAGTCAACTTTGGCGAAAGCTGGATTGGCCACCCACGCTCTTGTCAACGTACTCAGTCGATATATTGGTTTCGAATGCTTGGCATATGCTTGGTCTCGAACTTGGTCGTTATGGTCGCTTCTGGTTCATCGGCTCAACGTGGTTTCGTCCTTCGTCTGCAGCGTTTATGGTCCGGACCCGTAAGAACGCCCTCTTCAGATTCTGGATGCAAACCACTCTGGTGTAGCATGCCAACTCGAGCAATAAATACAACACATCGCTCCTGGTACTGTTCTCCGAAAACGACCTTCGTTGGCAACTCGACGATCAACGATCGCTTTCCTGTTCGCCAATTCTTCCGTCCTACAATCGCTCATCAGCCGATCAGTCCCACGATTCAAACCGCTATTTATCGAAAGTGTAAACCCTTTCCAGCGGGGGGCTCCTGCAGTGACTCACGTTTATCACGAGAACACGACTGGTTTAATAAAAACAATTATTATTATAACCAACTGTACCAGTGTTTGTTTTAACGTGCTTTTGTTTGACTGTGCTAATGACAGCTATTTTGTGCTTCCATTCTTATACTTACACTTTGATTGTAACTTCGCGCGGATTCAGTTACCTTTTGTAACCAAGGTTGTATCCTGGCACGATCTCGGTATCCTTTCGATGCCACGAGATCGCCAGCTAATAAACCTCGACTTGGTCCATTAACTGTCTTCTGATATTCGGCTTCTCGGGGATTTTATGGAGTCATTTGGAACGAGCTTCTTACGCCTTCTGATTCATTTGGCACGTGTTTCTTTGTAGTGGTGTTCATAGTTAACCTCAACTCGACGCCACGCTACAATTGGTAATCCCAATTCGAATACAAGTTTATCTAGATTTTATTTAAACAAATAAACTGAAATCAACAACCTGTTAGGGGTCACTATTTTAAGTAGATTGACCTTTCGTTTGAGATAAGTCAGTTGACAGTAGTCGACAGGAAATCCTTGAACTAGGTTTCATTGTAGTTAATATTCATGAATAAAGTGTATCTGCAATATTGACGGAATTGATGATCCCAGTAACATTTTCAATTCGTGTCATTCAATGTTAAATTTAAACACATTATCACTGAAGTAAATGAGATGCAACCGCACTTTTCTAGAACAAGGAGGATGAAGATATCAAAATGTATGTATTGGAAATTATTTAAAACTAGATTAGTCTGTCTGGATATTCATACAAAAATATCAAAGAGTTTATAGTGTTGCAAACTATCTTTTTTAATGGTAAGGCGGTTAAGCTGCAAATTGATACGGGTCTGACATAACATTAATTTATAGAGAGACTTGTATAAAACTTGGTCGACCTCAATATTAACCTACATATTCTAATGCTAGGAGTGCGATAGGAACTAACATCACTCTTTGAGAAATGAAGCTACCTCCCACATTCGGTGGCAAGACTATGACCGGCGAATGCTAAGCATCTGGAAACTGTGATACCAACTTATTAGGTATTGGTTGGATAGATAAATGTGGTTTGTGGGACCTGACGTTGAGCACTGTCTGCAATATGATTAATTAGCTCAGCGAAGAGTTCTCTTTTCGGCGAATTCATTTTCAAAGCTGTACAATCGCAAATACCTATACTTATTTTTACAGGATGATAATAATACTGATAATAACCTTCTGTTAAGCATGGTGACAGTGAGGTTAAATTATAGTGACTCACGTGCAATTGAGTTTAGTTCAGTCAAGGTCTTTTGTTGACCTATTTAATGGACAAAGTCATCCATGATGTAACAACTTGTTGTACTATCTTTATTATTATGCTTGTATGAAATACATATGCTTGAACATTGTTTAGCGCCTACGCATGTATTCATTCTGCTAGCTTCATTATTAACTGCTTAGTCTATTCGCTGACTCATCCATTTTCCTATACATATATATATGTGTACATTTGCACCCATTCACTACAACTACTACCACTACTACTACTACTACTTGCTACTGCTACAATCGTAGTTCGCTTGCTCATTCATTTTGCCTCTCTGCTGTCTGGTCCGAATTATCTACTAAATAAACTGTAGCAGCTGCTTCTTTTTGCCTTCTGATTTCAAACATCGTTGAAGATTATACGATAACGGTTCGAGGGTGATTAATTATCGAAGCACAGCCACTACAGAATTGGTAATCCCGACGTGAGAACGGAAGCAAATTTTGGTGAAATAATCAAATCCCAAAAATCCGATTCTTTTCATCTCAATTTGGATTATCAAATGAATTATAATTACAACTCTGGATTTATATTATTATTTTAATTTCACTTACATTATTTCGCAAACATTATTAAACGTGACAATTATAATCATAATAAATAACAATTATTCATAAACAATTGATATATTGGTGCAATTTAGTAAGTCTGTTCCATTTTATAAATTGTGCCATTATTTTTATTATCATTGTTTTTGCCCATCTATTCTTCCTTGTGACTGTTAAGTTATTTTCGTGTGCTACCTTATTTTTATAAGCATGTCTTATGAAAACACAGTTTCAAGCGTACAGCAAGCCTCGTCCGTGAGGTCTCTTAACCTCCCTGCCCCTTCTTTTAAAATCACAGACCCAAAACTTTGGTTTATAAGACTTGAAAATTATTTTCTCGCTAACCGCATTCTTTTGCAAAAGGATAAGTTCGGCCTGACAAGCACACTACTCCCAGACGAAGTAGCTGACAGCGTTCGAGAGGCACTAGCAAAACCAGACACAGAAAAACCATACGACGTGCTAAAATAGGCAGTAATTAAAGCTCTCTCTCTCAGTGGCCAACAAGCCGTCGAACAACTTCTTAACCAAGTACAAATTGGAGATAGAACCCCATCACAACTAAAAAATTATATGAAAAGTCTACTTGGCGATAGACACATTGACAATTATCTCTTTTATCAACTGTGGCTCCGCCGACTCCCGGCAAAAATACAGCAGATCCTAGCGGTGGGAGATACGGATGCTGATTTAGACAATATAGCAAAGATAGCCGATAGAATATACGAAAGAAGCAAGCAAGCGAACCCTCCACTACACAACGTGACGGTAGACGATAGACTTGATACTCTACAGAAGGAAATAAATGTTTTATGCCGCAAACTCACAGAGTTAACGCAGAGAGAAAAGCCACGAAGGTCATCGCGAGATCGCTTGCGTGAAAGAACCCGGTCAACGTCTAGACGATGCACAACTCCCGCGATATGTTGGTATCATCAAATGTTCGGCTACAGGGCTAGAAAGTGCCTACAAAAGGATTTTCTTCTAAACCATCATAATTAGGTTCCGCACTCCCAGGACAAAGAATGGATGAAATCCCAGCGGAACTACCTACTCCTAAAACGTCTTCATAAGGACAAAAGCGTACACGATAAACTGGATGAACCGCATAGTGAGAAAGGTAAGTATTCGAAATTACTCGTCGGTTAACATTAGGTGAAATGGTTTCAAAGATTTTTGATGCATTGGACGGTGGAATGGAATGGGGGTCACGTAAAATCTTTTAAAAGTAAAAAGCGATTTACGCAGAAATTAGACAAAAGTACATGTATACTACTTAAGATTCACAAAGATAAATCCTTATTTTATAGATCATAATACTTCCTCACAGGCAATACTAAAATCATCGTGGGTTTATGTGAAATGGGAAATAAAATAAAACACAACCATCTACTCACGGTAAATATTACTAAGGATAACTTAATTTTATGATAACAGTAGATTTATTATTCTTTTCAAAGCACTACTTTGGCCATATCAAATCGTAACAATAAATATTTTGTCTTTTGTCACGGCTATTATTATTCAAAATGGGAAGGACTTTTCTTAATAACAGGCAATCACAAACTAGATATACGGTCGTTAGCCATTAGTTCCAGTTTTATACACTCCTTTATATAGACAAAAGGAACAACTTCGGGAAATTAAAATAAAAACGAGCCCGAGATTTAAACAAAAGCTTAATCAACGTACCTGCATCAATACCCAAAAGAGTTCCAACAGCATGCCATAATTATCTCGTGAGCTTTACTTAACGACTCCGCACATCCCGACTACGTTAGGATCTAAAGTCATAACCTCATAGACTGATATTATTTCATGGGCGATTTGCTCCTACATGGTTCCGGTTTACGTGAGCAATGATTCTAAGACATGTATGACCAAATAATTACAACCTACACAAGTTTTATAACTTCGAAGTAACAAAAGGTAGACGTGTGTGGTGTTCAATGCCCACTACTTGCTTACTCTCTTCTGTTTGACTGGGAAATGATACCGTATAATCCAGATGCGACCCTAATTTTTGGAAGGGGAAGATCGCAACCTACAAACTCCTGTACTGTCACACAGTGCTTTGTTCAGATTATATTTCGTCAGTTTTTACCAGACAAGGAGACGTCTTCATACAAGGTTCTAGGTAAGAGAGCGATCAGGAGAAGAAATTGTTATCCCCAAGAGTATAACCATGATAAACGAATGAAAACAAGGAAAGTAGGCATTTTGCAGTATGGTATGGTATATGGAGAAACAACCACTTGATGCGATAAGTTAAGTACTAAACTAAATCATAACCAGAAATATCATACCTGTACGGTATTAGCAGCACCCAATGCTAATAAACCTTTCTGACTGAAATTAATTGTTGAAGCAGACATAGGCAGCAAGATTTCGGAAAGAGGATCATAAGTAGATCTCAAGTCCCAAATCTTTAGTTTTCGGTCAACTCCACAGGTTGCCAAGTAGCTGGAAAGATGGATGTGAAGAAAGAATAAGCTATGAGCAAATACATCGTTCAAATAGTGAGAAAAATGTAGTTTAGAGGAACACCGGTTGTTGAAATACTTTGTAGAAAAACGGTAATTCATAACCAGTCAATTTTAAACTACACGAAAGTGATTTGGCTAAGGCTAAGCGAGTGGTTTCACCAATCTAATTTTTAATTAAAGACTGTTCAAACAAAGCTTGAACAACAAACGTAGGATTCATAGCGGTTTCTAGATCAGCATAAATTAAAAAATGCACTACGGATCTCTATAGCTAAGAAAAATAGTATTAGTTCATTGAATTCCTCTACCACTGGCACTAACGATGGTAAATTAGAAGGATAAGCTTGATACGAAAACGCTAATCGGGGCGGTATGCCGTTCTGAATAAAATCAACCTTCAGAAAAGGTAACTCTGCTACACATTACAACATACATAGCTTTTGACAATAACCGCAATGTATAAGGATAATTACTACAATAAGTTAGGTAACCAAAAATTGATCTTCATCAAAAGCCGTACCCATAAAACACCCTGTGTTTTGGACTGGTCAGGTGTTAAGACTGAGATCGTCTAAATTCATCCACAAAACAATCAACCAAACCTAAAAGACAGATGCCAATATTATGCTTTACTGTTGAAAACTTGATCGTTTATTAAGATTATGTGGTATTTGTACGAACTAATGATTCCTTTGTACTTGACGGCCAGCTGATTACGAATTCCAAATATAATACGTTCTTTGTGCTCATCTATTCCTATTTGCTGTAAATTGCAATAAGGTGTTTCCCTTGGGCAACCAGCATCTGCAGCGATGCTTTCTTCTCACAAGGAAGGAAGGGGTTAGAAAAGGTCGACTCTAAATATGTCACACCTCACCTTACATCATGGATTTTCGTCGCCGATGGTAAAACCTTTTGAGGAATGGAGCTAACACGCTAAAAAACAACTAGGAAAAGTTAGGCAGCTATGTAAGTAATGCCCATCCCGAGGCAGCGCGGAATGATATCCGGAAAGCTGTGGGAACAACACTGATACCTGCTAGTAAGGTAAACCATAAGGTTAGAGAGAAGCACGGGATCTCAGCAGCATCCGCCGCACTGATAGATGCTCGAAAACTCGTCCCATCTGGCTCTGAACATGACGAAGAGCGGAGTCAGCTTAAGCGCAGGCTGATAAGAAGCCTACGCAATGATCGCGAACAGTGGTGGGCAATAGACAACAGCAGACAACTATTCAGACTTGTCAAGGAAACCGGTGTTAAGAATCCAACTGTTAGCAAAACTATCCTGGAAAAAGATGGACATATTATTCACTCTCAATCCAGGAGATTGGATCGATGGGCAGAACACTTTAGGGATCAGTTCAACTGGCCTTCAGCCACATTTCAGTTTCCCAAGATCTCCAGTCGACCTGAATGGCGAGTTCTCCAACTCTTTACGAAGTTTAAAAAGCTATAGGAAATCTGAAGCGTGGGAGAGCAGCAGGCCCTGACAGGTTTACCCCTAAGATTTATAAGGATGGAGGTCCAGTATTGGCAGTGAGATTGACTGAACACATAAACATTGGTACAAAGAGGCACTATATATATATGTATAAATATGCGCCACATAATAATAATAATGAGAATGAAGATATAACGAATGTAAGGTGCGTATAAGAAAAAGGGGAACAATAACGAATAGGAATTAGTGCATGAGAGTGAAATAATAATAATAATGTGAGAGACAGCTCAATCAGTAAAAGTACAGTCACAGAGAATTCTGCCACTTAAAGAAGTTACGTATTGTTTTATGAAGGAAGTAAATAAAGTTACAGCATGATCGCCACTGGCTTCCATTGTGAGCCATATTTGATAACGCCTCTAGCCACTGTGTTGCACCATCTTTAAGTCCCCACCAGGGGGTCGTCAAGAACCGATAGAAGCCAGTCCTGTACCGCTTTCTTTCATACCGCGAAAACATACACTGACCACCTCTCCGCTCTTTCCAACCAGTCCCAGAGTCGGCAAATAATGCACGACGTGGAATTCTCTGGGACGACATTCGTAGAACATGTCCAAGCCACCGCAGTCGATGTTTCAAGATGGTGACACCAATTGAATTATCGTCTCTGTTCCCGAACACACGATGCCGAACCTCTGCATTACTAACATGGTGCTACCACTGGATGTCAGCAATCCTTCGGAGGCAATGATGATTAAACACAGAGAGTCGTCTAACATCCTCAACTCGGAGAGGCCAGGTTTCACAAGCATAGAGCAAAACCGCTCTCACCGACGCGTTGTTGATCCGACCTTCTATAGCCAAACTAGCATCACGAAGGCGCCAAAGATGGCTCAGATTGACATAAGCCGCTCTGGCTTTAACTATACGTGCATTGATCTCATCACTCATGCCACCACCAGCACTTATGCGGCTACCCAAATACACGAACTTCTCGACTACTTCTATATGCTCACTACCCAGAGTGAGTGCAGTATCAGGGTCCTACCAGTCTTGTAAAAGTACTTTCCACTTAGAAGGTGCAAAGCACATACCATACCTACGGACAATATCATCCGCATACTCAAGGTCGAGAAGTCTTTCTCCAGGCAACAGATCCACACAACCATTACTTACGTCCATCAAAGCTGTTCCCAGAACGTCGTCGATAGCAAAGTTAAAGATGAATGGTGAGATTGGCCAACCCTGCCTAGCCTCATTGATTGAATGGAACAATGGAGAGAGGTGATTATGTGCCTTCACTCTGCCTGAGGTGTTTGTATATAGGGCTTTTAAGATGTTAATAAACTACCCAGACACACCCTTCTTCAATAGACAATCCCAGAGAACAATCCGGTCCAACGAATCGAATGCAAACCTTATGTCAAGAAACACTACGACTGTTGGCCCGTGATAAGTATGATGGTGTTCTAACATTTGGTGGAGGGTGAATATATGATCAATACATCCTCGACCAGAACGAAAACCAGCCTGCTTCTTGCTAGTCAATCTTTCTCGGGTTTTGAACAATCTACCAAGAATGACGGAAGCCAAAAGTTTGAACGCAATCGGAAGTAGACTTATCCCCCGATAGTTCTTGCATAGATGATGTGGACCTTTTTTAAAGATAAGGACGATTATCGACTCATTTCATGACGTTGGTACACTGTCTAACTGCCAAACCTCTGTGAAAAACTCAGACAGTTCCTTAACTAGAAAGTCACCATCATCTTTAAAAAAGGCAGAAGGTAAGTCATCTGGATCCAGTGATTTGTAGCGTTTCAAGAGTTGGAGTTCTTTGCGAACTTCCGCCTCATTTGATGGATCAGTCGTCACGGGCCATGGAGGACAGAACAGTGTGATCGATGTTACTGGGGCAGCAGAACAGTTGAACTGCTCCTCGAAAAACTCTGCCCATCGTCCAAGACGTCATTTGATGTTATGTTAGTGACCGGCATCCCGTCATCTTCACAGATTGTTTTGCTCACACCAGACGTCGTGCTGCCAGTGGCTCGGATGAGTTGAAAGAGCTTCCGGCAGTTACCAGGTGCGGTTTCTGCTTCCAACTCATTAGTGCGCTCTGACCACCAGGCTTCTCGGTCCTTACGCAAGCTTTGCCTGATCTCATTACGTAACAGTCGTCGTTTATGGTCAAACTCACGGTCACCCGGAGTAGACCGACGGGTTTCAATGAGTTGTAAGGAGCCAGAAGAAACCCAGTGCTTATAAGCGAGACGTTTCGCGAAGCCGCATGCGACTTTACTCGCCATTTTCATGGCATCGTGCAATTGCAACCAATGCTCATCTATACTTTTCAGTGGGATTTTAGCTAGTCTTGAACCTGACTCGGTTTGATATTTAGTTGTAACAGAAGCTGCAACCAATTTACTTACATCAATCAGTTTAGGACGATGAATTTGTTGGCCACTGAAAAGCAAGGTAAGATTGGCGCAAACAAGTGCATGATCAGGGTCCAAAGAGGTACTACAAAAGGAGCGGCAGTCTTGTACACAACCACGCCAGCGGTAGCTGATCGCGATGTGATCAATCTGAGTCCAGGCCTGAGATGCAGAGAGAGGGCTCCAGATGGCACATCGGTGGTGACTGTGCGGTAGTTAGTGCTAGACGGAAACAGGTCGTGGTCTGCGCACAATTGCAGTAGACGGCCTCCGATATCTGACCTGCAACCAACAAGTCCCCATCAGCCACTTAAACGACTTTCTTCGGTGCTTAGACGCACGACCTGAGCATTCAAGTATCCGGCTAGTAATACAATATTTGTCAAATGCACTTTCTGTAGTAGAACCAGAAATCGGACATTCGCTTTTCATCCTCTCGATTTCGTAAGCAACAGTAATGCTGCGAGAAGGCAGTCAGTTGGACTTCCCTGGCAGTAGTTGTATGCAAGTGACCATGTGAGAGCGTTTCGAGAGGAAGAGCTGCTTCTTCCCACTCTCGGCCGTGCCAGGGCATTTGAAGGAACAGTTCGACACTCAAATTCTGGGACTTTTGAAAATTACATGGAAAGGTTCGAAACCTGGACTATGATCAGAAACGGTGTTAAGAATGATGAAGTTGCAGCTCATTTCCCTACATTCATCGAAAAGGATGCCTGCAGCTTACTAAAACTTTTGGCATTCTCAGACAAGCTTATTTCACTTCCCTACGCAACTCTCAAACGGCTACCACTAAATCATGCAAATTGTACAAATTCTAAGTGTTGTGAAAGCAAAATTTAATAACATGATTCGACAGAACAACCAAAAAATTAGAGGATTTATCCTTGAATTGAAAAAACAGGCTGTTGTAAATTGCACTATTTCGGAAACTCCTAGTTAGTACATTAGGTCGAATACTCCTAATTACTATAGCTTACTTTGACTCACATAACGCATCACTTTATACCTACTATCACGATTCAAGACAGTATATACCAAGATTACGAACTGCTCTCATACCAGCAATTATAATTATCAAGCGAACGAAACGTAATCAGCTTTGAATGAACTGAGAATTAATGTCCAGTCATATATATGAGGAAAGATTTAACTGGGTATGGATTCGAAATCTATCAAAAGTTGTGAATTTATCATAAAAACTAACCTTCCAGTTTGGTCGCAAGCAATCGAAGTAATGGCAGTTGGGTGGGCGAACATTTTGATAACGTATGACTTCTCTGAAGGTACCCACATAGATACAACACCATCGTTGTGTCCTGTGCAAATAACTCCGTTAGAAGGGTTTTGACACATAACACCAAGGCGCCCCATATATGTAGGTATTGAAGCGACAATCGTACCAATAGAACAGTCTAGGTAATAAAGAAATCCATTGTCAGACTGAAATAAAAGCTCCAGTGCAAAAACCTACGGAAGACACCAGAAGGAAATGATACGGGAGAAATTCCATTCGTAATATCCCACTCAGTTTTTTCAAGCAATGTACTTCTAAGCCTTGATTGTCATATATGGAAACATATCTTTTCTCTGCAACGGCAACGAACGTTTCTTGGTGAAGAAACCTAAAAGATTATCAATTAAATTTTTTACTTAACATCCTTGCATTCGTTAGAGACAGTGATCTCAAAAAGAGGCTTCTTCACCATCCAGTCGAATGCCGCTATGTGACCTGATTTACCACACAGGGCTAAAAATCTGTTTTTTTACAAGCGTTTGGCAGCCAATTTACCTGCCGTTTCGTGAATAATCAATCGCATACGGTCCATACTGTAGTTTAACATCAAAACGCTAGTTTTAATATTCGCCTAAAGCTCATAGTATTTTACCTTAGTTGCGGAACCAATATCAACTTCTTTCAACATAGCATCTTGAGTGATTATCTCATTTTCATCTTCCTTCTCAAGATAGCTAAGTGCCATAAAGAAGAGAAACGCAACGTACCCAGGCAATACATTGTGTAGTGCCGCTACCTGAGTGACACTTTGTTTAGCATATTTAACCTTTCGGTTGAAGGACTCTGCCTTCTTCCTGAAGAACCTCTCGGGAAGTTTTTTCTATGAATAACCTATGGAAAAACGAGACCTGTAACATACTGTGTCCATATGAAAAGCAGTTGATAAAAAGATGACCTAAATCTATCAAAAAGTTTGCATGCCGTCCTTGAGATTTGAAAGAACCCCGAACTGCCTTCCAGTATCCAATATCTTGGAGACGAAGTTGTGCATACCGACTGGTGTCTTTGAACTCACTTCTTGTTGATTTTATACGCTTCCAAGTTTTTAATAACTTTTAATAGGCGGTAGTCTGGTTACTCGATTGCACTAATCCTAGTCAGTTTATTAGTTATTTGTGGGTTTACAGATCTTGTAGTTTGAGTGAATACGTTTGTCTCGGAACAGTAGGGTTTCTAGATAACAGCACCTTTCACGTCATCAGGCAGGGGGTTGTTTGGTTGTAATGTGAAAAATAATGACTCGGAAATTCGGATGCTAGGAACTGACCAGGTCTTCAAGAAACAAGCAGTAAACGTGGTAATTAATTGGTAATGAAGATAGTGTACGAAAACTAGAGTATTACAGTATAGGTCATCAATGTTGATGATCTACGTCAAATGATCAGAGGGGTTACTGAACTTAGACGGGAATGTTGTGACGAACCAGGTGACTTCGAAATCACACCTCGCAGTCAGCATCTAACGTGGGTTGCCCCTTCGACCTATTAAAGTACGATAGCCGCTTTGAAGACCGTATAATACAAAGAAAGTTACTACGGAAGTATATTAGTAAGAATGAGTACATAGAAGGTGGTAGGACTACCACTGCGTGGGCCAGTCCATGGCATATGATTAACTGATGCGCATTGGTTGCCCTTGACCTTGGTAGGGATTGATGGTCAGTTCGATATCCAGTTACCCAACAGCCGGATGACTTGGCTAGGGCTTAATTACAAAAGTAAAAGGGAAGCAGAGTTAACATTAAGCGATGAAGGAATATGTTTATAAGATGTGATAATTGTAACAGTAAATAGTTTAGGTGATAGCAGAAGGCTCATTTAATCAAAGAGCGAGAATATGAGGTTCTAAATTCTCCTCCTGAAGCCATCCTCTGAGTGCGTTGTGGTCACTTCGGCTAGAAGAACATTCCAAACAGAGATAACTTTCATTGGGAGCTTACCTAGCTCTTAATGTTTGCTATGAAATTCTTTGATGGCTCTGATGTTCAAGTTAGTTGCTCGTGTTGGGTTGACTAGGTGTCAAACCGTCATGCACAGCAATCGACACTGTTATGAAACGACAATAAGAACATGATAAATCATCTACTACCGATCTTAGGTGTCACGGAACAGTTTTAAGTATTTGTAAGGTCCAGAGAAGGTTATCTAGACATTCTACTGCACATGCCCCAGTGGGTTAGGTAATGATGTAAGGTTTTGAACATCATGAAATTTAATGTCTGGACTAATTTCCAATTTATTGATTTGAATGTCTATTTGCCTATTCGCATATAGTGTAGATGGAAATATCTAGACTTCAAAAAGATAACAGCTATGAAGAAAGCAAGTACTTTTAGTATGGCGTCGAGTAGCGGTTGATTATGATCACCACTACCGGAAGACCACGTGCCAGTTAACCGATAAGCCGAATATCGGAAGGCAGTTGATGGATGTAGTCGAAGTGTATTTGCTGGCGATCTCTCGGTATCGAAAGAATACAGGTGTGGTTACTGAGCGTAACCGAATTCAGGCAAGGTCACGATCAACGGGAGAATGTATGTGTTTTAGGTACAGTTAAACAAACAGGTACGGTAAAACAATCCCCGGTGCAATTGTTTATAACAATATTATTTCTAAAACACCAATTACGTTCTCCTGACAAAAGTAGGTCACTACATACTGTTGAACCAATGCGATGATTAGAAGTATTTGGATTACTATACGAACTAGGAATCCCTGAAATAACGCAATTCAACTCACACAGAACTAGAGGAGCACAAACGAACGTATTGTGTTCGTAATTCAAAATCAGGCAGTCATTAAATACAAATGAATCACTAGTCTATAAGAACAGTGCAAACGCCACAGCTTAAATTGGAATCTAAGTTCTCGTAATTAATTGAACGTCATCTCCTTAGGTTCATCGTATGTCTGTCAGACTGTGTATTGGATATAGACTCTGTATGATCTGGAATATGCCCATTAGTATTAGAATTAACAGTTGAAATTGGAGCGGACTCACCGGAATCCTGAACTTGTATATGATCAGTATGTCTATTATGTACTAGAATTTGAACCATAGATTTTCTCACACTATTCTCCTACATGAAATAATGTTTTCACATGCCTAAGTTATAAGTAATGTGCCGTCATTCAAAACATATTTCTCACATTAACTAGGGTGTTCATTAGAAGTGACTTCGCTATAAGAATAAACAACAGCTGACATGAAATCATCCAAACTATATTCAATATTTAGGACTCGTTCTTCGTATTGAACGAGTTTTCCAGATGTTTTGGATCATATCTTAGAGTTAGACAGCCGAATAAGTCATTTGAAAACGTAAAACACACAAACGAAGATGGACACCGGTTTACGTTTACAAACGTACAGAAGATGGCAGAGGTATTCAGTGTTTGACAACGCTTTTACCAGTAACACCTAATGTAACTCGTACCCACCAAGAGAAATCAAAAGACAGAGTCGAGGAGATCAGAAGTTGTATTTGGCGATTTCCAATATATCGGAATTGTCTGATCTAGTCTGGCTAGCGATTGCAGTAGATGTTGAGCATGGCGTTCCCACACGTGATCTGGTGCGGATGCATGGCCGGGCGCCTTCAGCTTGGTGAGCCCACTAAAACTAACCTGGTCAGCATCCAATGTCGAAAACTTACAGAGCTATTTATTTTGGGGATTTATTTACCGCTACAGATCACTCCCCTCCTAGTGGGGTAGTGATGACCCTAAGACGTGGCCAGCCAGAAGCTTAAACTCAACGTGTTTGTCGTTGGTAAGCACTCTTCTGATAGCTTGTTAGGTTTGGCAGTGTCTGGTCGTCTTTCCCTACCATATAGGACCATGAAGTACAGTATAGTAAAAAAAGAAAAAGAAAAAGGAATTTTCGGCTCCTTATAAACTTCATCGTTCGTTTCCGGCCGTCCTGGAAAAGGAAGAAGGAAATGGTAGTACATATCGAAATACACTCGTACGCGCGCAAAAACACAATGTCGGCGAAAAAATGGAAAATAAACTCATATACATGTAATATCGTTAAAAAAGGATTTTTATAATGTTTTTTTGTTTGTAATTTTTGAAATAAAAATATATAAGCGTATTAAAATTGTTTTTATAGAATATTACATATGGTAAAGAAACTCGAGATAATATAAAATGTCAAATAGTGCCTTACGTGCAATAGTCGTTTAAATGTTCTGGAAATCTAACTCTTCTTCCAGAACGCGTCGCCTTAAGTTTATTTTCTGATACTATTGAAGTATTATTGGGTGTGTTGCCTGTCGGTTGAGGTATTATAAGCGTAGGAGTCGTGTTGTGCGATTGCAACATGATCGATAGCATTCGATCTGCACTAATAAGGACTAGACAAGCATGAGATTGATCACCACCCAGTGTTCAATCAATTGTGATTACATCTCAGTCCTACAGGAGGTTAGTCACGGCTCGGATAGCTCAGTGGTAACGTCTCTGACTGTGAAGCTGGGTGACACGAGATCGAATCCGCCAGGGAGCACCAGTTCCCTCAAGATTACAGGTACACCTTGCTGACGAGTGCCAAGTAGCACGAAACCCGGGTCCAGGGTTTCCTGTTTACTACCTCCAACCACCATCTAATCTCATTACATAGTGCCTGCAGTGTCGAGTCACCTAGACTGGTGGCCACATTGCAACATGATCGATAGCATTTGATCTGCACTAATAAGGACTAGACAAGCATGAGATTGATCACCACCCAGTGATCAATCAATTGTGATTTATGGAATTTTAATATTATCCTAACCCATCCAACGCATTAAATGCGAACTTGCACAGTGTGAGTTTTAAGCCTGAGTACATCATTAGTTTTATGCTGTTCTCGCTGATAGTTCGGGACAGAATTTTCAGGTGAACAAATCAGTGTCACTGCATATCTAATGAAAGTTATGTTAGTAGCGTTCCCGGTGTAAGTAGAAAATACAACAGTTTCCATTACCATTGTTATCACACAAAGCACCAATCAGCTTCATAAATATTTTGTTTCAAATAGAAAAATTCAAATACTCATGTTACATTATAAACTCAAAACTGGTATGTGATATATAGGACTAACCTTCTCAACAGGATTCGCATTATTACCAGTATTCGAGTTTTCGCTGTTGTATTTGCTAAAATTCGTGACTCCGCTATAACTATCCTTATGAAGATGACTATTGGGATTGTCAGATATCTTCACTACTTGTTTCTGAGTCATAAAACCAGAGTGAGACTCCGCAATTTCATTTTCGCCATCACTATCCTCTACAAAATTCAGGTACGATATACCAATAAAGACTTCAGTACTAATAGTGAAGATTGAACGAACACAAAAAGCCTGCGATCTGGCATACGTATATTATGTACTTAAAAAGAACGCAGAGTGAACAGCTACCTAAAGTGAAATTCCAGATCATTTATGATCATTTTACATTTTACACTAGAACTAGAATCTAAATGATAACCAATAGGCTGGTGATAAGATTACCGATGCATAACTTCTATACTTTTCACCATTAAAGAATAATTTTCAACATTAGCTTTTCGTAACAGCACTTCGTGAAAATAATTAGCGTACATGAAGATACACTCGTTCGAAACAATCCTTAATAAATGTCTGAAAAACATTAATCAATCTGATCATTTTGCTGATAATCAACTAAATAACACACACCTTTGTGAACCTCTTTGATACACTTTAGTTGGTCATGATTTGTGCATCAGGTCTACATTCTAGCTTTTTCATAGTACAAGAAGGTACCATGCCATATTGTGGTAAGCTGTAGACGTGAAATTCTCATGAAAGTTGATCTCGACAATGGAATTATTTTCAGAGACTTTTACCCGAATATATGTAACCTGAAAAGTTGCAATGACATAATATAGGTGTTGTGTATTTTGGATTATTCTGTACACATCAAAACACTTTCATTAATATATTTGTGGCTAAAG